CCCCCCGTCAGTCATTGTAACAAGATTACTGCACACCAGCTCTGCACTGGCATAATAAAAAAAGAGCCAGCCTTCCCAAATGTATTGGAGACATTTTCAAGCAGTAGACTGCTAGTGCTAAATTATTAATGATATCATACAAAATATTATACAAACAGCAAAATAAAAAAACACAAAAGGTAATGCTTGGAAGCTACAAGTGTTGGAACAGGATAAATGTTTATATTTGAATAAAAAAGCATTTACAGTATGTTCATAAGCGATCAGAGATTTGATGTTTGTTACACACCATGCATTGGAGACTGGAATTCAACAAAACACTGGCCACTGGAGATACCAGGTCTGCGGTTCAGTAGACACAAGAGATCTGTTTGAGGTTGGACGTCCAGATATGTCAGATCTAGCTATACACCCAATTATTAAAATGTGAAGACTGGTCAACCATCCCTCTTATTTTTGTGTTTAGTATTCTATAGTCTTACTTATATCCTTCCTACATTGTAAGGTCAAAGACCAGAGTCAAGACCAGTGCTATACTAGTAGTTTTCATTTGAAGGCATTAGTTTAATAACATTAAACACAAATGACATTTCATTTGTATAAAAAGTTTATTAGTACAGAGAAAGCAAATATTTGTGCAAGACATACCATCAAAATCCAAAACAATAACATAGGGATTTCATAAGAGGAAGCCACTCTTACTTGCCATGTGGGAAGATGGTAAACCTGAGCGTCTGTAAGCTGAAGATAAAATTGTCACCCTACAAACCACAAATTGTCAAATGTCCAAGCGAACAAAGCCTCCAAATTCCAATATAAATATGGCACTTGAATAAGTAGCACAATCCAGAATTCTGGAAGACAATGCACGAACTGTGGCCTGCTGTGAGTACAGTTGGTTTATCTGGCAAATGAGACCCATACATTCTAAAGAGTCTGGCTACGGAGAGAGGGAGAGAGAGAGAGAGAGAGAGAGAGAGAGAGAGAATCCCCTTCTTAAGCCCTCTCTAATTCATAAACTATTAAGATGTTCTTGCAAGAGACATGGCGTAACAGTCAGACACATTTTCAATGTTCCCAAAGTCCTTAACATTCTTCCTCAGAGATGCCGTATGAAGCTGGTATATGTTACTACCAAGCATATGCCCATATGGCATGGTCAGTTCTCCTGGCACTGAACATGTAAACAAAGTGCATTGTGGATAGGACAGAGGTTCTATTGAACCAATTAGTTCATATGATCAATTCATTCTCACTCTTGGCTGTTCTGTGCCCGACGCTCCTCCAATGCCCTACACACCCACATGGACACCACCTCTGTGTTTCCGTCATCGAACTGCACAATAAATGGATGGCCCTGTAAAAAGAAGATCATATTATCCTGTGAACACATCCAGTATAATCCTAATACTATATTATCCTTGGTAATATGACAATTTCCACAAGCACTATAACTGAAATGTTACAATTGTGATCTTTTTTTATTGTTTTAAATATAAAGTAGAAAAGTAAATGACACCTTCTCCTCTATACACAGTAAGAATGACATCATGAGACTATATGACAGGAGTTCACAAGGTTACCATCCTCCATTAGTATGTATTTGCTAGATGGTTCCTACCATCACAGGAAAGAGAACAATACTTACATTACATGTGTAGAAAAGCTGCTTCTCACTACAGGAACAAGGTAAAAGAAAAAAACAATGCTGGTACAAGTTGTTAAGGAGAAGAGGAAGGTTTGGGGGCACATCTGTGCAATGCCTGGACAAATAAAGAGGACAATATTTCTACTCAAGAGGTGCTTATAGGTAAATAGCATGAGAAGTTTGAATCAGAAAAGAACTCTGTTCAGGAGAATACGCGTAGTAAACTAATTATGGATGCAATATAATCAACTAGATGTAGCTGATTAGAGTTGTATAGAATGAGATAAGCATGTCTTTGGTGGCTAGACAGTAATCAGTGTACACAGATATTAGAGAAAACAGCCCATGTGTCTATGAAGCAGTCAGCCTTAAACTTGCCGCACACGGCTAGATTTCTTTTGACTGTGTTGATTAGCAGATTTCTTGTGTCTGGCTGCACATTGCTGAAGGTAGTTTTGAACCTAAAACCAGAATTGATTAAAGTCCTTCTGCAGTGCAGTGAGTGCGGGAATCCAAGCATGGATGCCTGTGGTAAACAATGAAGAGTGGGTATTCATTGGTGCTGGTATCATGATGGTTATTATGGGCAAATTCCGCCCAGAATAAAAAGGCCCCACGGTTGGTGGGCAGACACAAAGGATCAATGATATTGCACAAGAGATTGGTTAATTCTCTCAGTTAGTTTGTTGGACTGTGGGTGGTAGGCTGAAAAGAGACTTCATTTGGGCACAAAGCGCACATATCCTCCACATTTGTGCAAAGATTCGGCCACCAGTATTGACATGGAAAAACACGAGTGTTCTGTCAATTCCTGGATATCTAGAGAGGTTGGAGTCTTGGGCTCAACGTAGCAGTTTGGTTCTTAATTCTGAGGCATTCAAGATTTGCTTGGGGGAATAGCAGACTCCCAAATGGATGTCAGCCAGGACATTAGTGGGGCGAATTATGGCTCAATGGGAGCTTCAAAATCTCATGTTTAAAGCTGATCACAAAGTCAAACCCGGAGAAAAACAAGGACCAATGGGCCTGTCTGGGATTCAAGCAATGGGCAGTCTGAAGGTACTGAAGGGTTCTTATAATCTGTGAAGATGATAATATGATGAGGCAACCCTTCCAAGAGGTATCACCACTCCTCAAGACTGTTTGAGGGCAGGTAGTTCCCAATCTCCAGTGGAGTATTTTTTTTTTAGCTGGAGAGAACATTTTGGAAAGGAAGGTGCAAGGGAGCCTAGCAGGGGATGACAAGTACTAGGAATGCTGCAGTCACTTTAAACACACTGGAACACATTCTCTGGAGAGTGGGGTACATAGGAGTGCAGAGGACATGGGAGACACAGAGGTTGGCTGGGGTGCATGCGAGACACTGAGGTTTGCTAGAATGCACAGCAATGCTGGATGTGCAGAGACAGTCTCAGAAGATTGGAGGCACAGGCAGCTACTATAATGACATGTTGCTCAATTGCAAAGCAACACATCCAGCAGCCACTTAACTTAGTGCCTGGGTTCAGACTGGCTGCGGCACTGCATGCATGGAAGACCCGTTGAGTGTGACAGTGTAGACAGGTGTTGTTTTCTTGTATTTGACATTTGTTTGACACACACACACAAACGCAGGCTAGCAGATTCCCATTTGCTTCAGTGGTGTAGTGCAGATGACAGTTCTGAGGCTGCATTTGACCTGCTTTGCTTTGTTTTTCTCTGGACACAGTAGGTCTGCACTGCTGGATAAGCAGGTCAAATGCAGCCTTTTGCCCTGTTTTGTGCTGCAGTACATGCATTTGTGCAGCACTGCATTTAAATGCGAACGGCATTGTACAATAACTCCCATCTACAAAAGCTCTTACTGGCAGTAATGCTGGGCTTGTACAACACTGAATAGCGATATTACTTTCCCTATAACAGATGAAGGATTGGTGTCATGCAGCCATCACCTGACCCTATCTTGTCTTGGAAGGATTTCCTGACCTTTCAGTCACCGCATTGTCTCAGTCTGCAGAATTCTCAAAACTTAGACTGTGTATTTTAAGTAACCACTCCTCCTCCTCCTCTTAATGAGGTTATGACCAACCGCTTATTATAATTGCTTCCAACTCCTTTTAATTTTCAAGCTTATTAATCATAAGAAGAGTTATTTAAAATTGCATAAATTAATCTTGGATTAAAAGACCATCAAGGCCTAGAAACAATTAAGAATATGCATGGAGTCCCAGGGGCAGCACGGTGTCTGATTGTAGCAGTCAGGTGGGCCTGGTTGAGCGGGCGGCAAGATGATTAATGCACACAGCATTTCAATAAGACTTTTCAGAAATGCCACTTGCTGACCCTGGGACTGTATTGCTTGCCAGAGATGAGAAGTGGTTAGTGAACTCTGCCAAAACTACATGTGCGATCTGAGGCCTTCCGACATGCCGGGGTCAATTAGGGCTAAATAAAAAGCAAATTACATCACATCAGCAAATGGTCCTATTTATTGTAAGAACTCCAATTGTTTGAAGAGAATCTGTTTACAGAAATATGGTCCCCATTGCCCAGGACTATGAATTTCTACACAGTTGTCTGGTAATTGTAGAGTGGGGTATGAATATTCACAGCATATGATTGTACATTATACAGTAGGGAAAATTCTGTGCCAAGGCCTAAACTATTCTTAGACACCAGGAATGTCTGCAGTAATTAAGTAGAAATAAGCTATTTTATAATCCATACTCTTTATAACATTCTGTAAGAGGAATTGTGAAGGTAGAAGTATGAGAGCTGCCATTGCTCACTTAATTTTAAAGATAAAAGCTCCGAGATTGTCATTCTGATCCTGGTTTTCTACCTAATGAGTCCCTGACATGGAAGAAACATGCAGCAAGGGAAATTTCAAAAGCTCAAGCTCCCTGCCTGTAAACGTGTTTCTCATCATAGACTCATTAGGAATGTTCAGGGTGACAGTCCTACAGGGCTATTCACAAAAGGGTGATGGGTTTGGAGAAGGCAGGAGAAGTGAACAATCTAGGCCAAAATAGCCGATTTGGAAAAATTCTCCAATTCAGCTATTTTGTCCTAGATTGTTCCCTTCTCCTGCCTTCTCTAAACTCTTCACCCTTTTGTGAATAACCCTGCTAGAGTCTGTACTTTCAAAGACAGATGAACAATGGTAGCTCACAGATTCCCTTTTTTTTTTTTTAAAGAGTATGTTTATTAGAAAACCTTTGAGTATTCAGTAAAGAAGACAATACAGAAGTACATAAAAGACATGGAGCATATAAATCGAGTGTAAAAATACCAACGCCACTTCCTTCTCAGGCACTATATGGGTACAGCATCCAGATACTATAACAGCACTCACATCGTTACCATGCATTTTTAGGCTAGGAAGGACAATGACCTAGTGATATCAAGCCATGTAGCTCCATAGTGCCCACACTAAGGCTGGGTTCACACCTAGGCGCATCGAATATGCGCGTTTGTCGCACGTTTTTACAGCGATTCGCGGTAAAAAAACGTGCGACAAACGCACGTTTCTGAGGGCTACCTGGCTGTATCTCAATGGATACGCGTGGCAAATACGCCCCAAAGAAGCTCCTTTACTTCTTTGGGCGTAGGGCGTTTTACAGTGCGTTCCTACGTGCTGTAAAACGTCCAGGTGGGAACCATGCCCATAGGCAATCATTGGTTTTCATATGTTGAGCGTTTTACAGAGCGTAGGAACGCGCTGTAAAACGCCCAGGTGTGAACCAGGCCTTAGTGTGAACAGCCCCACCTGAGGGGGAGAAAGAAAGAGAGGTAAAGAATAGAGAGAAAATAAGAGGAAGGGGGGAAGAGAGGGGCTACGGTGCAATCATGGGTCCGGGGTTTTTAAAGATGTACTCCTACACAGAGGCATCTAGTTATAGAGCCAAAAGACTACGAAAGCCCCCAGTAGTACAGAAATGCTACCAGACACTCCAAGTAGCATTCAATTTGGCATCTCGGTGGTACAAAGCCGCAGTAAGCTTTTCCACCCAGCATACAGATTTCAATTCAAGCACCCACTCACGGGTAGTAGGAGGAGTACTCGACTTCCAGTGTCGCGGTATGACCTAGCCGCCATCATGAAAAATGTGAGCAGGCCCTTCTTAGCTGAGGAAATTGAACCCGGGAGCACGGACAGGAGGGCCACTTTCGGGGACCTGTCCACCTTGGTGTGAAGGATCTGGTCATAGGTATCGAAAATATCCTTCCAGAATGGGGTCAACAGCGGGCAGGACCAGCAGATGTGCAACATCGTCCCTGGGTATGACAAGCGACGCCAGCATTGTACAGAAACGGAGGGATACATAGTCTGGAGTATAGCGGGGCAATAATACCATCTCGAAAGTACCTTATATCTAGAGATTCCCTTTAAGCACAGAGCATGTGCAGTGCTGAAGAAGGGATTTACTCTGATCTGAAATGTCACATAAGGGCACTGTAACCTTGTCTCTGTGAAAAGTGTAGAACTTTTTTTCAGGGTTTTATGGTTGTTTATGTCCCCATTGAGCAGACATAACCGGGTTCATTTTTAAGATAGTTGCTTTATTACAATGTTTTATTGCCCTGGGACCTCCAGCCGTATATGCATCTAAGGAGATGCTGGGTTTGCAATTTATAAAGGAGGATGTATGTAATTTAACCTCAGGCACAATACTGTGAGTAAGGAAAAGAGACAGTTGCAGAATGGCAAATTCTGGAGAAATCCTGACTACAGACTGTACTCTGTGGCCATGGAGCAATGATAAGAAAACTCTGCAGTTAAAGAAATTCATGGGTGGCTGAAATGTAATTATAATAAAAGAAGAAAGTTGCTTGTACGGCAAGTATATATTTCCATTTTTAACAAAATCAGAGTTGTATTTTTGCTGGTCATAGCTTCATTTACAGAACATGTGGCTGATTTGCAAAATATGCAGCAAAGGTTGCACCGCTGCCAGTAACACTTCTTGTTCAATTTTCATTGAGAATGAAAATGCATTTTTGATATGTTGCTGGAGACCTCCATAGAGGTTAACATATCACAGTGATTGAATTAAGTATTAACACTTGTCAAAGCAGATTTAGCAATGACAATCGCATGTGGCTGCTATCAGCAGCATGAGAGTTCCTTTCGGTCACTGTAATAGAGGCCTAGTAATGCAAAATAAAGATGTAACTTAGTTCAAAGGTAAAGCTACTAAAAGACATTAACAATTTGGCTTGTAGATCACATACGATCCTCCTTAGGAGGATAAATCAGCGATCGGCTAGGAAAAATTCAAAGCGACCAATTAACTCTTCCCCAAGAAAGGAGCTGTCTGCTATGTTGGGTAAGACCTGCAGACATATGAATGCAACCTGATCTGGCTAAAACAATCTGGGACAGGTGAACATTCTGATGTCTGTGGGCACCTTTAGTCCTGATCTATAACTGGTCCATTCTGTTTCCTTTGAAAGAGTAATAATATTACTACCAACAGCAGTGACATGTTTAAGCAGATTCCCTGTTGGGTGGCTATGTCAGGACCTCTGAGTGTACAGTGTGAAGGTAAACACAGATACAGTACAAGATTCTGCAATTACTGCCTCTTTATCTCAATCACACTAGTTCACATACAGATCCCTCAGCAGGTTTCACAAAGTGACAGTAGGGCCAGATTGCCTGTCACAGCTGAGCCCACCTGTCACAAAGGAATTTAAGATAAAAGGTGCTAAAAGACTCAATCAATTCTGCTTCCCTAGAATTCAACAAAGAGAAAGGTAGAGGATGGCTGTGTAAGCACATGGCCAGCAGTGTAGACAGTAAGTATGAAAGAAGGGGTGGGCGTATAGAAGGGGGCCAAACAAAGCCACTGAGAAGGGTCCAATACAAAGTACTGAGCCCAGGAATGGTGGACTGATTATGGTCACACTGGCTAAGTGAGTTATGCTGGCTCCAAGCAACATATCATATCATATCTACCAATAAGATGCAAGATTCTAAAGCTGGCTACTTGCTCAACAGAATTATTTACACAGGCACCTGCAAATGAAGCTCATTGCTCCTACAGTATTATTGTGGTTTGCCACAACTGATCCTTACCATTAGTTCTTCTGGCGCTGGCCTCTCCTTTGGCTGTTTTCTCATGCTGTAAAACAAAGAGAATTATGTGGATTCTAGCTGTGCAAAACACAATCAAAGAGGAAGCACTAGAGACACAAACTATTTACACAATATACATATTCAACTGTATGCATACTTGAATTTTGGCCAACTCCTCATTTCACGTAACATAGAAGTAAGGTAGACTACGACTCACTGCAGCATTCTTACCATTGAGTGATGAAATGTACAAAGGACTCGGAGAATTCACCAACAGGAAGAACGGGAGAATCCTATAATGTCGAGAAGAATAATATGCCATCAATGCAAAAGTTGTATTGTTATATCCTCACTATATGAAGTCACTTATAAGATTTGTATGTGATTAAAAAGAAAACGTAGAGACACCCTGCTCTGCACACTTTCTTTACTCTAGTATTTAGAATCAATCTTCTTTTAGATTACTGGTTTAATAAAACAAAGCTCCATTGAACCATTGAGCTCAGTAGATCGGGAAGTGAGCGAATAAATACCGGCTCACTTCTCGATCCTGTCACGGCACTCTGCCGTGACTGGGGAGGGACTGGATTCCCCCCTCCCCGCTCCGATCCTCCAGCGCTGACTGGTGGAACGTACGGGGGAGGGGGGCGGGTACAGCTGGCTATGCCTCTAGGTAGGCAGAGCCAGCTGTCACTCACGCACTGGGCGGATCCAGACATAATTGTCGAGATCCGCTTCAGCTGTGGCGTCTCAGTATACCGCGAGCTGTAGCTTGCGGTATACTGAGCTTAGGGTGACGGGAGGACGCTAGTGTGTGTCCTCCCGTTACCCTTAGGAGAACTATGGGGAAAAGCCTTAACCCCATAGTTCTCCTTTAAGTTAAAATTATGACTTCCCTAAGGAATGTAAAAACATGTAAAGCTTGCTGATCAGTGTTTGATGGAGACATATGGACATATAGATATGGATTGCATATACCAGCTCTACATATGATGTCATGAATGATTAAAAGTATTTTATTTGAACCTGTATGACGTATTAAAATTAAAGACCCCTTTAGTTATATTACATAATTGGTTAGTTGTTGTGCCACCTTAAAAGTCCCGTTGCAATATACTGTTGGTGCGTGTCTATATTAATATAGGGACATGGCGTCTACACAACTTTTCAATTCATTATCCTTAATATTTTACTGTTTTTGAACCTTTCCACTGCCATTTTTGCAGAAACACACACACAGAAACACAAACAAACCCCCGCACAAACACACACACAAAAATATTTTCTAAAAGCAGAATAAAATGGTGGCAGCTGAGATTTTTAATGTCACACAATATTAATGCACCTGTTCATAAAATGTATGTAAAAGTACCTTTAAAGTTATGTTAGGGCACATAAAACACAATATAACATCCATTTTTTTTGTACAATATAAAAGACGAGGTTGCACCAAGTAAATAGATATGAAACACATTAAGCTTCAAATTGCATGCGCCCATGAAACTGCAAAAAACCATGGTACTCAAAACTGTCCATAGACAACATTTTTAAAGCTTTTACAGGTCACCAGTTAGAGGTAACAGTGAATAATGGCCCTATAATTATTGCTCTCACTGTTGTGTGCGAGACGATACCCAATATGTGTGTGTGTATTGAATGTGTTTCTTTAAGTTTGCCCAGACAACTTAACGTAAGTAGTAGTCTTACGAGTGTGTCTGTCTATGTGTGTGTGTCTGTGTGTGGCTGTGTGTGTGTGTGTGTCTGTGTGTGTGTGTGTGTGTGTCTGTGTGTGTGTGTGTGTGTGTGGCTGTGGGTGAGTTTGGGCCCCTTTTGCAGCACTTACTGCAATTACTTTTGCACAATATTCTAATTATTTGAGTTTCACCTGTATATATATATATATATAAACAACACAGTAAGCTTGGATGATGATACCCTTTGGAGGTGATTACCCTTTAGTGATGAGTGGAAGTGATACTCTTTATTAGCCAATTTAAGTTATTGAAGATGCAAGCTATTGGGCTTTTTAAAACCCTTCTTCCAGCTTTATACATTTTTGCAAATGGTTCTGAAAGCCACATGGTTGTATTTTATTGATTCTTTGATACATGGATATTTCAAAAGGATTGTGGCTGGACTCCTTATCTTTGAGTCAGTTACCCAAATAACAATTTTAAAGTCTGATCCCTATCTCAATAGTCTTTACCACTCAAGTGTGTCAAGAAAAAAAAAAACAGTTGCATTTTTTAATATATGTATATTTTATTGCTCCTCCTTGTATACATATTTGGGTTTCAGAACCATTTCCAGAAATATTTGAAGCAAGAAGAAAGGATCTGAGGCATCCGGAAAGCTTGCAACTTTGAAAACGTAAGTTAGCCAATCAAAAGGTATCACTTAAACTTTCTGGATATGAAGGGGAGATTCCTTTTGGATCCCTTAATCTTACTACGAATTGGAAACTTCCTGCAGTAACGATTGGTAGCCAGAGACCATTTGATCTAGGCTGTCCAGAGTCTGGCAAAAAGCAAACCTTCATGGCAAGAAAAAGGGGTAAATTATTCTCAAAATAATGTGATGGTGTAACGTTGGCATGTACCCCATTGAAGTGCAATATATATGATGGGTCAACGTTAGCTTTTTTTGAAAGCCTGTTAAAAAGTATAGTAAATTTAAAATTGTGTGATGCTGTTACATATTCATGACTGAATATTGATTAAAAAGAATGATAATATATCCATAGAATACTGCTGATTCTAATGTAAAATGTTTGCCATTTACAGTCATGCCAGGACCAGATGGAAGAGCCCAGATTGTCCACAGGAAGACAACTGGGATCATTTGAAAATGTAGGACAAGTACTGCCAATCTAATCCATTGTCCAGTTAAAATCTGTGTGCATACCCATAGCCATTACATTGGCATTACATTGGCATGTATAAATGTCACTGTCACAAATTCAGATTATTTTGTACACAGACTTTAACACAAGTTACAAAAATGACATGTGAACTTTCAAAAAATATAGTGCAATAAACATTTTATCAAGAAGAACATATTATTTTTGAATGGGGGTCTTTATAAAAGGCAGATTAAACTTTTATTTTCACACATGTGCCCCAATTACCCATTTACATTAGAATGTAAACTGAATCAGGCCCCAAAATGCAAGTAGAGGATTAATGCCATGTTTGTTTGTATAATTTTGCAACATGTATGATTTATGTTTAAAAAAATGAGGCATGAAGTCCATTATTACAGTTCTACATTAAATCAGTTACTAAATCTTAAAAATATATATTTTTTACAAGAGATCACTAAAGTGTTGTTGTGTAAGCATAACGCTTATTAAAAAATGTTTGGACACCACTAAGTTCGACACACTGTTTTATTTGAGTTTGACACATCGGCTTTACGGAAGGAAGCACACTTTACAGCTACATTGATGCCAGGCTGCTTGTGGCCCGGGAGATGGTACACCATTACAGCTACATTGATGTCAGGCTGCTTGTGGCCGGGGAGATGGTACAACATTACAGCTACATTGATGCCAGGCTGCTTGTGACCGGGGAGATGGTACACCATTACAGCTACATTGATGCCAGGCTGCTTGTGGCTGGGGAGATGGTACACCATTACAGCTACATTGCTGCCAGGCTGCTTGTGTCCAGGCAGATGGTACACCATTACAGCTACATTGATGCCAGGCTGCTTGTGGCTGGGGAGATGGTACACCATTGCAGGTACTTTGATGCCAGGCTGCTTGTGGCTGGGGAGATGGTACACCATTACAGCTACATTGATGCCAGGCTGCTTGTGTCCAGGCAGATGGTACACCATTACAGCTACATTGATGCCTGGCTGCTTGTGGCTGGGGAGATGGTACACCATTACAGCTACATTGATGCCAGGCTGCTTGTGGCTGGGGAGATGGTACACCATTACAGCTACATTGATGCCAGGCTGCTTGTGCCCGGGGAGATGGTACACCATTACAGCTACATTGATTTCAGGCTGCTTGTGGCTGGGGAGATGGTACACCATTACAGCTACATTGATGCCAGGCTGCTTGCGGCCAGAGAGATGGTACACCATTACAGCTACATTGATGCCAGGCTGCTTGTGGCCAGGGAGATGGTACACCATTACAGCTACATTGATGCCTGGCTGCTTGTGGCTGGGGAGATGGTACACCATTACAGCTACATTGATGTCAGGCTGCTTGTGCCCGGGGAGATGGTACACCATTACAGCTACATTGATTTCAGGCTGCTTGTGGCTGGGGAGATGGTACACCATTACAGCTACATTGATGCCAGGCTGCTTGCGGCCAGAGAGATGGTACACCATTACAGCTACATTGATGCCAGGCTGCTTGTGGCCGGGGAGATGGTACACCATTACAGCTACATTGATGCCAGGCTGCTTGTGGCCGGGGACATGGTACATCAGTGCAGCTACATTGATGCCAGGTTGCTTGTGCCCACGGACATGGTACACCATTACAGCTACATGCCTATATATATCAGTAGATTGTGGTAAACAATGCAAAGGTAGCTTGTCCTGACTTGCAAGTTTATTTTACTATTTTAGTTATAGGTCAGTGAAATAAATGTTTTAAGCCCCTGGTCCCCAACATGCATCTTGTGGGCCTCATGCAGCCCTCCAGTGCTCAGTATAAGGCCCGCTGTGCTCCAGACCCGAGGTAGGTCTGGAGCCCAGGGTTGTTCATACTGATACATGAGCCACTGTCAGTGCAAACAAAGCTGCTGGGTTAGTTTGATGACAAATTGGGACTTGCTTCTATATAAGCCAACCTTAACAGTCTGGTTTGCTTATCCCACAGCAGGCACCACTCTGTTGCCAATCTCCCTGGCCACCTCTTCCTCTGTCAACCGCTCCATTGTAGGCTGTGTCCCTGCCAGTCACACGGCCCTTGGGCACCTCTCACGCTATCAGGCTTTCCTTCTCCTGCCCCTATTTTCCCCAGCCAGATGACTACTGGCCACCTGTTGCAACAGCCTACAGGAATTGCGGATATGAATGGGTTTGTTTATTTTCAGGCCCACTCATATTGTACAAATGGGTTTGAAGATAAACAAAGCCATTCATTTGAATGTCAGGAGGTGAAACGAGGGCAATGGTTACTCACCACTGTACTAACTTCAAATCAGAGTAATATGAATGGATTTGTTTCAAGCACAAATCCATTAAAAAAATATAAAAATAAAACAGTTTATGAAATAAAAAAAGAAAATATTAAATAAGAAAATATTAAATAATTCTATACCCTTTCCAGTTTTTGTATAATTGTATTATTTGAGGTATTTAAAACAAAAAGAAAGTCGAAATCGCAACTTTAAAAATGTAAAGAGACATCAGCACAAGCATTTTCCTAGTGTTAAAATGCCAAAGCTGCCACTTTTTATCTCTTTTTTATCGATTTTTTTTGCCAATTTTATTAATGACCTCTAATGATAACAAAGTACACTAAATAATACACACACACAAAAAAAAAAAAGAAGTAGAAGGCCATTTTTTCTTACAACTACAGGGGATATAGAGCTGTTGCAGCTGAAGTCATTTTTGTACATTTCTTTTTCTTAAAGGAGAACTATGACATGAGTGATTTCCACTCACGTCATAGTTCTAAGCCGACCTGTGACAATGAGACTGTCACAGGTCGGCTCAGTAGATCGGGAGGTGAGGGAAAACATACCGGGTTCCCTCACCTCTCGATCCAGTCACGGCTCTCTGCCGTGACAGGGGGAGGGGCTGGATTCCCCTCTCCCCGCTCCGATCTGCCAGCGCTGACTGGCGGAATGGACGGGGGATGGGGCGGGTACAGCTGGCTCTGCCTCTAGATAGGCAGAGCCAGCTGTCACTCACGCAGCTGGGCGGATCCCGTCATCTAAGTCAGGATCCGCTCCAGGTGAGGCGTCTCAGTATACCGCGAGCTGTAGCTCGCGGTATACTGAGCTTAGGGTGACGGGAGGACGCTAGTTTGTGTCCTCCCGTTACCCCAAGGAGAACTATGGGGAAAAACACTGACCCCATAGTTCTCCTTTAAATATGGTGCCTTGCACCTTTAAAAGCGAAAACAAGACAACAAATTTAAAAAACAGCTTTCGTTGCAATGCACACCCTATCCCTGGGGCTGTTTCCCACAGACCTACCTCCCCAAAGTTCAGCATTGCTTGTCTTCCAGCCAGCATCACCTAACGCACTTCCTGTCGTCCCAGGCAGTCATGGACCCACCACTGGGGGTGCAATAGTAAGTTTATGAAAACAACGCTATTGTTTAGCCCTTTTACATAATGAAATGTGGCCCCACCACTGTTTTAAAGTGATATGACAACAACCAGAACATTACATCGCCACTTTGTATAGTGATCATAGGCTGTTTAATGACCAGACATGTGATCCACTGATCAGGCCCTGTGATGTGTGTCCAAAGGGGCATTTCGTTCTGGTCAACCAATTTGTGTATCACTTACAAACAAGTTTTTAGCTAGTGTCAGTGGTAAAACACCCAGAAACAGAATAGCGTATTCACTATAACAAATAGGACAACATATTTACTCTTAAGGAAATTGTAAAGTGCAAAGTACTGTGCCTTCTAGTAACTGCTAACTGCTAGCATATGTATATTGCACTTTGCACATACACACTTTGATGCTTTATTAAAACAAATGTGTCAGGACAAAAATAAAGAAGCTGCCCCAATGCTGACTTGTTTTATAATGTTGCTTGTTCCAAGACTGTCATTGTTGGCTTTACTTCACTAGTAAATTGCTGTCCTAAAGTGCACATCAGGTATGCCACTACTTGATCCAAATCAGTGATTCAGTAGTAATGGAAGAAGGGGATAGTCTTGAAGCATGCACTGGAAAAATAAGGCAGCAAAGGAAGCACCCATATTTCTTTCCACATAAGTTTGTTTTAAAATACACCTTTATGCAGGAACAAGCAAAAACTAGAGATGCACAAAAATTGAATTTTCAGACCGAAACCTTTTTAATTTTTTAAAAATAATTTAATTTAAAAAAAAAACTTTGTTGGGGGCTCTGGGGAAATCTAAACAGACCCCTGATATTTTTCTCTTTTGAAATAGAAAAAGATAGAGGACACAAATCCTAAAATCCCCTTTTCTGCAGCCCCTTTTATGAATAAACAGGAAGCCTCTATACTCCTGTCCATTCATAAAGTGTGGATATAGTATGAGTTACCATGTCCACAATCATGAATGAACAGGAAATTATGTAGATCACTTCCCATTTATTCATCATTGGGGATACAGTAAACATACTATGTCCTCAATTATTTACAAACACTCCTGTGGCAGCTCACAGCTGTCTCCTCCCCCACACAGCTCTCCATCCCGATCTGTCGCAGGAGGCTGAGTGGGGTGGAGAGCTCGGCCTCCTGTGACACGCTCACAACGCTCTCCACCCCTGCCCCGCTCGGCCTCCTGAATGTTTCTCTCCTCCCCGCTGGTGTGTCCCCTCTGACACAGAGCAGCGTCCTGAAACCATGGATGCACTGCAATTTCGGCCACAAAATGGTACTTTCGCTATTTTTCCCAAAGTGCCATTTTCAGACGATATCCGCGGACAAAATTTTCGGTGCATCCCTAATAAAAACATGTACCAGGTTTTAGTGACTCCCAAATGACAACAACATGTACTTATCTAACAAATCAATTCAGTTACTAAAGCGAGGACCATAAAGATTCACAATTCTGTTCTCTCAAGGCAGGCACACAATATAAGACATCCGATTGATTGGTATGTGCAAAAGCCCCTTTTTTTGCTCTGCGCTTCAAAATTACCCCCAGTATATGTGGCTGCAGGTAAAATCACAACTCACGACACCTTGGCTACACATATGTGCTGACCATGTACAGGAACATAGTTGCCAACATTTGACAGTCACCATGGTGGCATCACACCGGCAACTGATTCGTAAATATACAAATAATTGCTGTGGCCCAATTATCAGGGAAACAAGTGCTGTAATTACAAAAGAGACAATTAATGGAAACCCTTATTAAGGGTTTTGTTTTCCACATTAACACAACATGGTTCACATTATCACAACATGGTTCATCCAGCACAGCCAGTGAACAATGCAAACCTACAATCAGCTCCTCAGAAAAGACACAGAATGGGTCAGATAACTGGTCCAATTCCAGTGCACAGAGGACTGAATTCATGAGCAGAAATATCATAGCTGTGTTTAGTAAATGTGGCCCATTAGAGCCAGCAGGTTGTATGGGATGCTGAGAAGCACTAGGGTATGTGGTATGATCACTAAGCCTCTGACTTTTATCTACCACATTTGCAGCTCACAGAGCAGTGAGCATGTGTGTAACCAACAGGTCGTAGAGCAGTGAGCCGAGATGACACCATGCAGCAGCCAAAGCGCTGGACACAGATCTGAACATTTCAAAAAAGCAATTCAGGCATACACGAGAGAAAATAATTTCTGTATGTTTCAAATAAACAAAAGAACACAGAGGGGCATTTATCAAAACTGGAGCAGACAGAATCTGAAGCAGCTGTGCACTGCAACCAATGAGCTTCTCGCTTTCATTTTCCGATCTTAACTGAACAAACTGAAGAGAGAAGCTGATTGGTTACTATGGACAACTGCTCCAGTTTTGATAAATTCCACCCCACTGTCTATTGCTGTGATTGCGAAATAAACACCCCCATCCAACTGTAATTTTTTTTATCCGCTACAAAAGCAAGGGATCAAACACATCATGTGACTTACCAGTGGCAACTTTCCTAAAATGTGCTGCAAACCTAAGGTTGGCCCTAGATTAGATGTAAGATGGGGGTCATATTTCTTTTCTTTTTTTTTGTTTTGAAGCAGAATTCCACATAAAATGGATGTTTCTGATTTGGGTGCAGTGAGGCATGGTTTCATCCAAGGTGGAACTTTATAGCTCTCTGGGACATAGCAAGAAGATCTCCTCCACGCTCAACACAGCTGGGAGAAGCTGAGTTTTAGGCCTTTGCTATGGATTTAGGTAAAAATTAATTGCTGGTGTTAGACAGCTGTAAATATCGGCTGGTGGTTCAAACTCTCTCCCAACTACCCATTGTGGAAAAATTTTCTCAACCAACTGCCTCAACCATGCAATCCTTTTTCATCAAGAACCATACAAACATGCACCCTCATATCCTACAACTCATAAAGAGAAAATAGGCGGAAAATCCGACATGGCTGAAGCAAATGTGGGGTGTCCATCTATGAACATCACCACCCTCTCCCATGCAAAAAAAACAAACCAAAAACATGTAGAACAAGCACCCCCCATTTCATGTCTATAGATACACAAAAATTTAAGCAAATTTGCTTAACCCCCTTGTTTACATACATACACAAATATCAAACCAGTTTAAAAAAACATATAGTATGGCCTCCACGTCAACCCAGCAGTGCACTGAAATGACACCCTCCATCCCTTATGAACATTATTCTACTGAATAACATTATGTCCACATGGAGATTCTGCTCTCTACAGAATCCCAGCAGGCAGGCCTGAGCCCCAGTTAATATTCTCCAGCCTTGTCGCTGGGGCTTGATACAACTGCTAGGATCAGTCTGCAGGAGACTGTAGATCAGAGGGTGTCGTCCATTGTGCTTCATTAGGAAACAAAATATAAGCTTTCCACTCCATTAGGAATGACTTTAGGAGAGAAAGCACATAAGTCTGAGACTCACCTCATCAACAATGCATTGCAATATCTGGAACGGCTGCGGAGAGAGAGACAAGTATTAACCTATATGCAATATCTCTACAGTAGAGTCATAAGAGACACAAAAAAACACCATTAATGCAATAAAAATAGCAAGATTAATCAACAGCAGAGAGCTCTTATAAAAACATTGATGTTGGAGCATTGCTATTATTTCTAATGGTACCTAATCTAATACAGGCAGTTAAATGTTTGTTTTTTCTTCAAAATGCAATTTGCAAAGTTTAAAACAAGGCAGTGGAGCATGCAGGAAGAATCAGCCATCAGGAAAAAGAGAAAAGTGAATTTTTTCCCCCCCCCCCCCCCCCCCCCATCGGAATCTGGGGAGGAAAGTGGATAAAAAATATGTATATTAAATAAAAAACACAATAAATAACACACAAAGAAGAATAAAAGAATAAAAAAAAAAAAAAAACCAGGAGGGGAAAATATATAAAACGGAGAGCGGAGAGGAAAAAAGGCAATATGTAATTAGCATGTCATAATCAAAACATCTCACTAGGACACATTATGATCACTGGGAGAAAATGATTGTCTTGCTGGTGGCAATTTGTGGGCATGTGTTAACACAATTTACATAATGAAAATACACAAGTGTTAATAGCTCTTCTCTCATTTATGGGTGAAAGTCGGCAGAATGCTAATTTACCACAAACACTTTTTAGTATCCTCCAGGTTATATTAGAAAGAGGGAGGAAAAAAAAACAACATAATCCATTTCGGAGGCAGAGCCGTTTCCGCTCCGTGTATAAATAATGTTTTATGCGGCTTCATCGTGAGCGCAGAGCTTAATGTGGCAATCATCGCTAATGTGAGGAAACTGGCTCTTTTTAAATTAAAAAACGATTTATTTAAAATTGAAATTAAATCATCGTCAGAAATTAGAATTTCTGGCCGCCTGCCAGGGCTGGCCTGGCGTGTCACCCCTGCCTAATTTCTGGCTGGGAGACACAAACTTTAATTATATCTCTGTAATGGGACAGGGATCTGGTGTGTGTGAAGGGGAAGGCCGAGACTGCCAGAGGAAAAGGCTTTTCTGCAAAAGGACTGTTGGAAAATCAAGTGAACTCGAGTGGGTGATCTGCCTTCATTAGTAGAGGTGGCACTTTTAATATTTACAGTTCAGCTACGTCGAAATTTTGTGTTTGTATAAATCATATATAAAAGTTGACCAAAAGTCACCAAAGCTTAAATTATTCTATTATTTGTATTGAAGGGTAATTAATAGCATGTCTCCCTTCTTATATCCAATCACAACTGTTTTAGGAGTAGTAGTAGTTTATCATTTTAAACAATCAAATTCAGCCGATATACTATTCTCCACCAGGAGCTGATGGCCAAAGCAAAGTTAGAAAGGTACCATAGATATCTACTCCATGTAGGTGCTTATGGTAAGGTAGATCATGAATTGAAAGGATTTGTCTTACTGATATAATCACAAAGGTTTGGTGAGGTGGAAATACTTTTTTTGCCCCTGGGCAACTGTACATTTTGGTTTAGCACACAAATACAGCCCATTATTATACAGTCAATTGCAAAAAAAAAAAAGGAACCAGAACCTGTCTGGTTATACTGTCTCGTTAGCCCTCAACACCTACTCCATGAAAACCATGGCTTTTCTACAATTTATTGATAAAGGCCAACAAACCTGAAACATCTGTATACATATGGAACAAAAAGCTCTATAATATTATGCTGTAACTGTGCTGTAAATCAGTGGTGCTGGAAGCTCAGTTGGCCCATGGCCAATTTGAAATGGTATGCATGGTTCCACCCAATATCTTAGAATTAGGAGTAAACTTTGGATTGGCGATGGAAGCGAGACATGCAGATACTTTCTTTGTTAGGAAGCCTCTACTGTGCTGCACACATGCTGGCCTAATTCAATAAAAATGACTTATTCTCAAGTGGACTAAACCAAAGTAACAACTCAGAAATCACGTTTTCAGACTAGTCCAAGATGGATATTGATTGGTTGCTATGAATTTCTGCACCTAACAATTAGCACCCAGATACCAGAGGCTGAGGAGGACAGGACCATGAAAGAACTGGTTGGTTTAAGGCCACATTGGTCTAAGGTTAAGAGTGGCGTGCCCCATGGTTCTTTGCTAGGCCCCATATTGTTTAACCTGTTCATTAATGATTTGGGGGAAGATGTTAATAGCCATGTTTCTATGTTTGCTAATGATACTAAAATTGGGAGAGTAATAGACTCGGGCTAAGACATTTTAACATTACAGGATGAACTGGATAAAATAGGGGAGTGGGCAACTATATGGCAGATGAGGTTTAATGTTGAAAAATGTAAAGTATTGCATTTTTGGGTTAAAAACAGGCAAGCGGAATACATATTAATGGGTACTCCACTAGGGAAGGTAGAAATGGAAAAAGATCTGGGGGTCATAGTAGACCACAGATTGAATAACAGCTTGCAATGCTATCCAGGCCAAAGCAAGCAGCGTACCGTCATGCATTAAAAAGGGAATGTACTGTAGGGACACAGCAATAATTTTGCCACTTTATAGATCGCTGGTACGCCACATCTTGAGTATGCGGTTCAGTTTTGGTCACCTATCCACAGAAAGGATGTCCTTGAGCTGGAGAGAGTCCAGATGCGGGCAACTAAACTAATTAAGGGGCTGGAGGACCAAAGCTATGAGACAAGGTTCCTAAATGTAAACTTGTTCACACTGGAAGATTATTTCACACTGTGGGAGATTATGAGGGAACATGATTTTGATGTACAAAATGTTTAGTGGTGATAGCAACATCAGCAATAAAAACTTTTTACAGTAAACTTCATAACAAAGACTAGAGGCCAACACGTAAAATTGGTGGAGAAAAGATTTAACCACAACGAGGGTAGGGACTTCTTTTCAGTTACAGCGGTTACATTTTGGAACTCTCTTCCACAAGCAGTGGTATCAGCAGAAAGTATTGAATCCTTCAAAAAGCATTTAGATAACTTCCTCAGAGACCGTAACATACAGGGGTACAGGTACTCTTAAAAACTAGATCACACAGGGACTTGTGTACACACACATACACACACAAAGGTTGAACTTCATGGACCTTTGTCTTTATTCAACCTCAAATACTATGTAACTATATGTAACTTTAATAAAGCCATTAGTACATATTATTCTTTGCCCATACATGCACATTGCTTTTCCTGTGGAGCTCAGCTTGACAAGTGTATGTCGTCACAACTTTTCATTATTTCCTGTGTGTCATCCATTGATTTTTACTTTCCTCTTTTTGGCACTTCTGAGGAGTGTTTTGATTTGGCAACAACTGTAAAACAATATCAACTGTTCCAGGGTGAATATGATTGCAATAGAGAACCTCAGGAGACCTGTGTAGGACAAAGTCTAGCAGGTTGACTGCTCACAGTTCTCTGCAGAGTAGGAAAGTAGGCAGGCGACTCCGTTCACGCAGTTCAATGCCTCTCAGGACTTTGACCAATATACACTGAGCAATTGATGTGTATGGTGAGGAAGGGTCAGGGGGTGGCAAAAATACAGAAACTTAAAAAGAAAAGAAAAATGGCTTTGATCTTTCAGTGGCTTTTGTGTTATCTGACTGATGTTTCAGACAACCTTTACAGTAACATACTCATATCATAATACAGAATATCAGGAACATTTTACATAAAATTCTTTTTTTACTAGCCTTTAAATGAATCTTCTACAAGATGTACAAATCTCTCTACTCCCATGTCACAATCCCTTTTCATCTTTTGATCGTTCTTCCCACTGCGTTCTCTTATCTGTCGTTTCTATCTTGTTCATCAGATAATCTTCTATTCTCCCTCCTGACACAATGCACGCCTGCATTTTATTCAAATAATTCTTAAAAACAGCTTAAAAAGCCGTTTGGAATAACAGAGAGCGTCTCCATCAATCAGTGCGGGGGAGGGCGAGGATTTCCGCTGGTAAGTGTATAAACAGCAGATCAGCTCTTCAGAAACAGTCATAAAAAACTCCATTAACTTCTGACAAAGAATGCAAATTAATCACAACATGGGGCTGGGTTGGAATTAGTGTGTGTTCTGATCACAGGCTATGCCTGGAGAGACCTCCCAAAGACCCCTGCCAAAGCTGAAAGAGCACCCTTGAGGATCCTTGGATAAGATGTACAGAAAACCCATATAAACCCAAGCTAGGCTTCTAAGGTCCAATTCAACATCCTGCAATGAAATGCCAACTAGATCTTCTGAATGGAACCTTCAAAATATACCATTACATCTGATGATGAAAAGAAATGTCATCCATTGAAGTCTAAAACATGATCATGATAAGCATATGCAGCATAGTTTTGGTCAACAGCTTTAAATTCTGGAGCACTATCTGGTGAATGTTCAGCAATGAACAACTGAATTTTTTTAGGTGGGGAGGAAGCCAAACAGTAAAGTAATGAGCAAAAGTCTCTTCAGACAATTTTGGTAAATATCTCTGCAATTAAAACAAAGGCTCTCTTTGAGAATTCCAAAACAAATTTTACATTATTACACTCTGTAGCAGATATAATTTTCAAAAAAATGCCTAATATTTTTGTAAGGATAAGCAACCATAGTCAAATTAGCATCCTGCACAATCAGGTACCCTTCTACGCATTTGCAATTTTGCAAGAAAACTTGCGGACAAGAGTTCACGTCTTTCTTAAAGAGAAGCCGTTACCAATGAGCATCTGTAATACAGTAAACTACCCATTATCTGGCATTCAAGTAACCGACACTCTCAAGCAACAGGCAAAAAAAAAATCGAAGACATAATATGTCCTCGATTTTTTTTTGGCGGTTGCTTGATAGACATATGCACACTAATAAATTTCTGTTTACATCTTGCTGCCAGCTGATGGCTAGATTCCGCAGCCGGCAGCTGAATGTAAACAACGGGTAGTGAGCAGTATCCAGCCTGATTTTGGCTATTTCAAATCGAACCTGACCACTGCCTTCTGTCAATGAGCAGAGGAGCAGGCCTGAGAAAGGGGGTGGGGGGGTTATACTGCAGATTACTGTAGACTGGGAACATCCCAACAGATTTGGAGTTGCTCTGGCCGAGTTGTCCAGCCATCATCTGGCCCTTGTCAAAGTTGCTCAAATCCTTATGCTCGCCCATTTTTTCTGCTTCCATCACATCAACTTCAGGGACAAAATGTTTACATGCTGCCTATTATATCCCACCCACTTCTAGGAGCCATTGTAACGAGATAATCAATGTTATTCCCTTCACCTTTCAGTGGTCATAATGTTATGGCTGATCGATGTACATACCTAACCCCGATATGCAAGACTGCACTATTATACCAAATTAAAAACGAGGGTCCATCATACTTACCTGCCCTCCAGGAAAGCGAGCTCCTTCACCGGCAGGTCCATGGTCAACCAGTCAGGGAGACAGGGTTTGCGTCTTCGGCCATCCTTATTGGCCGGCCCAGGGTTAAATAAAATTTCACTCTTGCAACATGTACGAGACATGGTATGTCTCTTCTGCAATCCTGCTAGCATTTTTTAAAAAGTAAAGTTTTACTTTACAGGCAAATTTCCATTTCAGCAACAACAGTTGTGGTTGGACATTTGCACACAGAAGATTTTAACTGAAATATTTGGAGAAATTTCAACATTATTGGTGTAAAATTAGTTTTCAATGTGATACCACAATTTTCATTGTGTTAAAGAGCTAGAAATATAGGTTAAGTTTAAGGTTTAAATTTAACCTAAAGTGGCCCTGTTACTAACTTAACTGCAGGTAACAGCACAGAAATAACATTTTAAATGCTTACTTTCAGTGTTTTTCCCTTCCATAAATGTTTTATTGAATTTAATTGTGCTTTTGAGAACGTTAGGAAAAACTGACCAGTTAATTCCCTAGTACAGCCGCCTCTCTTCTTGCACATCTTGTCTGCATAAGTAAATTTTTTCCTGTCAGCATGTTACCTGTGTTAAACTGACAGTGACATCACATCATGTGCAATATAATAAAGTCTAATTTGTTGAAAGGTTCACTTTAAAGTTAAACTCCAGTCAAACTGTAAAACATGTAGATGAAATACATATATATGAAATGTTTAATCTGCTAAACAAAAAGTTAGTTCAACTTTTGTGACTTCCTTGACATGCTGCATAGCCAGGGAGGTAAGATTTGTTGTATTTGTTGTCTTTTTAGATGTATAATGATTAGTTGGTCACCATATGTTCAAGCGCATGATACCCACATCCCTAAATTAAGATTTTTGACTTGCCAATAAAATCTGCTTCTTGGACTAAAGTACAGGGCAAAAGGTAGATTCTGGGATGACTGGATAATCTGCAGGCTTTTTCAGGTGATGGACACTGGTCAAAGCTGTGACGATCCTTGTATAACCCCTCCAACTCCAGGGAACCCTCATTTTTTTTTTAGCAAGCAATAGAAAACAGGGGGGATTGTCCTGTGTTCTGTACTTTACTCCAGGAAACAGAAAAGTCAAACAGTCCTGTTTACTTGATTGCACTGTACAGGACAGTTTCAGAGACTAGGAGTAGAACTGAGGGGGTGGGCAACACAGCAAGCGACCGCCAACAAACCCACAAGACAGCACAAATGGGCGAAACCCAAACTTAAAAAAAGCAGACTGTAGCACCTTATGGTCACAACAAGCATCAGCAGAGTCTGGTAAAGCTTAGTAAAAACTTAGTAAACGTGTTAACTGAAGACCAGGTGGTGGCCTTACAAATCTGGAGAGCAGATGCTGGAGTGCCTTCAAACAAAAAGATGGAGCCTTACCATTAGCAGAATAGGCATGTACAAGGACAATGGTCTGATCCACCGAGAAATAGTGGAACAAGAAACAGGGAGCCCCCAGGAAGGACAAAAACAATTGGAATGTCTGAACAAAGCCATAGCAGACAGATACATTTGTTGGGCCCAAACTAAACCAACACAATGTAGAGCAATCTCCTTAGGATGTTTCAGAGTAGGACAAAAAGAAGAAAGAACGATGTCATGGTTAAGGCGAAATGAGGACTCCACTTTAGGCAAGAGGAAATCACTTGGCATGAGAACAACTTTGTCCTTGTGGAGAACAAGAAATGGTTCTTTGCACGATAGTGCTGCCAACTCCGAAACACTCCAAGTCGAGGTGATGGTGACAAGGAAAACCACCTTGTGGCAAGATCTGTCAAAGTCATATCCATCATAGGTTCAAAGCAAGCACAACGGAGAGATGAAAGCACCAGCCAGATCCAGGCAAGACAGGTAAGGGCATTTAACAAAAAGCCCTTACCAAGGAATGAGAGGCAGACAGGCACCGAAAAAGGATGGTCAAAACGGATAATTTGTCCCTTGAGAGTACTCAGGGCTATATTCTGATCCATTTCCCAATTGGAAGAAAGCCAAAATCCGCCCCACAGAGTGTTTCTGCGAAAGAAACTTCTGTTCGCATCAGGCAAAAGTAATCCTCTAGGTGCGATGGTGCACCTGGATTGCGAGAGTTTAGGAATAATAGAGTCTGCCAGTCCTCTACTACTCAGGAACCCGGCTTCAACAGCCAAGCCATCAAAGCCAGCAACCGAGAAGCAGGATGGAGTACTGGGCCTGGAGATAGAAGGTTCACATAGGTCTGGAAGAGGCCACAGGGAGCCTGTCAGCATTTGCAGGATGTGCACATACCACTCTTCTGGGCCAATTAGGAGCCATAAGGATCACCGAAATGCCCTCTGCCTCGATCCTGCAAAGCAGATGAGGAAGACTCTTCAAGAGAGGAAAGACAGATCAGGGAAGTTTATCACATGCAGGTAGGTACCCTTGATGTCCATTGCAGCAAGAAAATCCCTTTGTTGAAGGAAGGTAATGACTGATCACTCCAATTCCTTCTGATTCCATGCAGAACTTGCAAATCTGCAGAAACCTGGATGGGGCATGCCTTTCCCTGGGGGGGGAGAGTAGATTGGAACTAATAAATCAAGGCAGGGGGTAGGAAAAAAATGTGTGTCCCTGGGAAACTACAGAGTATACTCACAGATCATCGACATCTCAAACCGAAAGGCAGCAAAGGCCAGCAGAAATCCCAACATTGTGAGGAGGGCTTGGTTCCAGGCTTAAATAGCTTAGGTGTCAAGGACTTGTGTCTGAACTGGGGGCCATGTTTTGCTTTTGAAGCCAGCGTTTGGGAGGGGCGAAAGGCACTGTAACCTTCTTGACAAAGGCATCCAAGTCTTCTCTAAAGAGACATTCTCCTGTGAATAGGATCCCCTCAAGGTGTTTCTTATAAGCTGGTTCCGCTGACCAGTACTTAAGCTACGCATCTGGACTGAAAGGAGATCCCTTTCAATGCGTCAGCTAAGCCATTTACATAGTAGTCCAGAGCCCCTGGTAAAAGTTCCAAGAATCTTAGGATCGCAGCGTCCGATGTTACGGAACCAGGATCATGGACCATGTGCTTGGTCAAGGACTTCCAAAGTCTGACACACCTGCATGGAAGCTACTGCGTGGGGTATGGTAGGCCCAAAAAGGCAGAAGGAAGTCTTGTACAAATCTTCAAGGTGCTTATGCACCCAATCTTTAAAGGCTGGGATCTCCTCCACTGGGACAGTCAGGGACTTGTTAAGGCAAGAAACACCAACATCAACTTATGGCTTCACCCGCATTTGAGAAACTTCCTCTAAGTCCCCTTTCACACGGGCTGATCAAGAGTGGATCCGTGCACGGCAGTATGGAGTGGTTGTCACCCCTGTAAACTGCAATTACCGGACTCCATGTCTGTCTATAGGGAATCAGATGTAAACGGACATGTGTCCTTTTCATCAGATTACCCCCATTCTGGCACGATCTGGTCTGGCGAAACGGAACACTGTTCCATTTTGTTTTTCCAGACCTGGCTGGAGTCGGGGGGTAACTGAGTGTAAACAGATGCCCGTCCATTTATACACGGCTGGCCATAGACTTATATTGGACATCCCGTTGGGTCTGCTTGAAAAACTGACAGGCGGACTTGATTGGACTGGATGTGTGAAAGGGGCCTAAGGATACTGCTATGTATCCCGTAAGAAGAGCAAATACTTTACAGGATTCTGCCAGTCCATATAGAGCACCTCCTCTGCAAGGGAGTGTGTTGCTTGATGTGATCTAATCTAAATTTCCCAAGACTACATATCCCATCATGCACTGTTTTCAGCATGCAATAATGTTACATTATTCAGACATTGAGTTGTACATCCCAAGGGAGGCTTTGCGAAATACATATTTATTTTTATTTTTTGACCATAGATAACCTTTAAATCGGTATAGTGGACAAAAAGGTTTTTCTTAATGGGAAAAAATTGGAACTGTAATTCCTTACAACGTTTGGTTGAAAGTTTCACTTTAACATGGATGCCTGCTTCCTCATTAATGGGAGGAATACGGTAGTTTTCTCCTCACTTTCCTCTCTTCCCTTCTTTTCCTTTCCCCCTTCCTTACAACCCCAACTCCCTACCTACCTCTTCCTTCTTGTCCATGCTCCTTATGCAAACCTAACTCATTCAGTTCACCTCTTTCTCTATAGGGCAACACCTTTAGGCCCTTCTGGAACACCCTTTAAAGATCAAACCACAGCGAAATTATAATTTAAGATGTACCTGTCCTCTCTATTTATCCTCAATACCTTGCCCCTCCCTATTCACCCCCCTCTCTAAATTTGACTTTTTGCAGCACCCTATGGTTTACAGTATACTTGTTTGTATGTTTGCTCTTGAACTATCTCCTGTATAGTTGTCAAGGTATGTCCTGTACACCTAAAATTAATGACATCTTTCATCAGTTGAGCCCTACATGAGCTTATAAAACTGGTAGAATAATAAAGGACCTAGACAAAAAAAAGTAAGGACCAGGTAACAAAAGTGTACTATTATTTGGAGATATCCACCTTGCAACCCAGCCTGTCTTTAACCCCTGGCAAGCAATGTTTATCTATGGTTAACTGTCCTCTTACCCTGAATATCAATATTTCCATCAAATTAACAACACTACCAATGCATATACTGCCGCCACGATGTGAGCATGGTTAGAGTGTTTGGAAACTATGAGGCGCTCAATAAATACACTTTACAGGAGTCTTGTAGATGCATCCAATTTGTTATTTGTACTCTGCCATGGCGGGCGCCTGGCACACTTGGGCACTGGGAACCTGATCTCACAGCTCTGGCCTGGGGATGTTCAGCAGCATCTTAATCAGCCTGCAGGTGAAAGCTCTGTTACTCCATATGGAGTCGGGAAAATTAACAGCGCAGAGAAGACTGAGGCAGCAGCAGGGGGCAGGTGGGAGGAGGAGGGGAGCTACCGTTCCTTTTGAAAAGGGGATAGGGAAAAATGAAAAAAGAAAAATGAAATTTGGAGTTGAAAGGATAGAAATAATGAATTAATGGGGTGTGAAAACACAGGCAGCTCGGCTGTAACAGGCAATATCCACTCACATATCTGATCAGCTCCTCTCTGGGGTATATTCATTTCATTTACTGGATGATTTCCACAGCCAGGCTCAGAGCGCCTCTCTTATTCTTAAAAATAACAGTTCCTGATGTTCTTTAAATAACAACAGTCTCCTAGCATACCCTGCACGGTCATACAGTATGTCTAAATATAACTGACCTAATATAACAGTTCTTTCACACTGAAGTGCAAAATGATTTGCTAAAACTTAAGCTGGCCATACACTGGTAGAATCTTGTTCGAAAAAAATATGTTTTTGGAACATTCATTTGATTCTGTTGTAGTAAATGGGGTGAAATTGATGATCGCTTTTGAACATAGCGACAAAAAAAAATTAAATTCTAACAGTAAACATGGTTTTCATTCGGCAATCTCCATTCATTGCAAAATCAAATGTTAAAATCAAATGAAGTTTCAATTGCCATTCAGCAATTCTCTGGTGGCATTATCGAATGTTCTGATGAGATTCTTTGTGTAAACATGCATACGAAAACCTACCAGTGTATAGCCAGCTTAACTTATAGGTGTCCCAAAGGGCTGGATTGAAAGGGCAATGTAGGTGCTTTTTGTACAGGAATGAAGAAATATCACCCCTGCTGTTCATATCTGGGTTGCAAAGGCACTTGGTGCTCTCATATTGGATTTATATGCTTTGTGGCTATTGAGGAACATGCTTAAATGAGTGTTTCTGTGCACAGAATTTAGTTTTAGGGTCCATGTCATATCAGGGGCCCTTTATAACTGGGTCCCTTTAATGAAAATGAGCACAACGTCAACTGGGGGAAGTGCTCACAGTGTCCAATCCAGTAATTATTGTAGGGCAAATTGAAAAACAAATTATAGTTAGGTAATACAATACAAATCTGGTACCTTTAGGTCATTCCATAAAGATAAGGATCTACCCCTGTAAATAATATGACAGCTAGATATAGTGGTTTTGCAAATTTATAGATCAATATCCAAAAACCGGAAATATTGTTGGGGGAAAACAGATCATCAACGGTTTTCTCTACGCTAGCTGTATTGTGGTAGGAAATTACCGTTTCCTTAAAACAGACTCAGCAATCCTCAGTAATTATACTTACAGTCCACAGCAGAAGTCAAGATGGTTTCTAACAGTGTTCCAGGGTGAGATCCCTGTATTTGCATTATAATAGTTTGTTAATAGCTGCCTGAGGAGATCTGCCTTTTCCCTCCTATAAATAACTGAGCAGAGCCTCAGGCATGGAGCAGACACGGTCTTCATTCACCAACAGCATGTGATTTTCCCAGGGAGCCCAATTCCTGGCAACGCAAATAGTGTCCAGTCTTTGCCTGGTGCTGCATGTGGACCAGAGACAGGGAACAGCCAGGTGCAAGTTCACAAGGGGCCAATGGCAAGGCTTTAACCCCTTCTTTAACATATATATTTATTCTAACAACAAGGCAGAAGATCAATTAATCAGAAGAAAGGGCTTCTTTTAGTTGCAGCAAAATCAACTGTACATCCCTCTACTTGGTGCAAACTTTACATACGAATAATCCTTTTTCATGTAACTCATGGATGCCAATTTCAGTAGGCTTCTCACTGTGCTCATAGACAGTACTTTGTTCCAAAGATAGACAGTGAGATATACAGTGGTGCCCAAAACCAAAGAATACAATGGCAATTTTAAAAATGTCATATCCAGGGCCATTAGCAAAAAAGGTTTTGGAAGCCACAGAGATTAAAAGATATCTAAACCAAAATTTAAAAATATTGCAGTACACCAATCCCTAAATATGGTGGCTGCATTCGTTTTCTTTTTTAGGCTTTTTTCACCTGGTGATCCAGCCAATAAGTCTGTTATTATACACTTCATTCAACAGACCTAACTGTCCAGGAAAAGTGGCAGATAGAGGTTTGAGACAAACCATTTACCACTGACAGGGGTACTTACAATGGTTATCTTGTATCCATTATGTAAATCATTTACAGGCAGTCCCCGGGTTACATACAAGTTAGGGACTTAAGGTTTGTACTTAAGTTGAATTTGTATGCAAGTCGGAACAGTTACATTTTTTAAGTGTAACTCCAGCCAAAATTTTTTGTTTTTTTCTATTTTAAATTTTATTTTATAAACTTTACTTTTTTTTTTATTTGTTTGCATGTTTAATTTTCATTTATTTAACCTTTTTTATTTATTTTCTACTTTTATTTCTTTGTCTTTTTTTAAATTTTTATTTTAATGCTGGGAGCAATAGCCAGCCTGCTATTGGATATTTCAAATTGCAATAGCCAATAGCAGACTGGCTATTGCATCTGCCCACTGCCTGCTGTCAATCAGCAGAGTAGGGGCCCGAAGGAGAAAGTTCTCTATCAAGTCGTCCCATGCTGATTGACAGCAGGCAGTGGGCAATAGCCAGCTTGCTATTGGCTATTGCATTTTACAATATCCAATAGCAGGCTGGGTATGGCTCCTAGCCTGCAATGAAGAGCAGGCAGGGGGGCAGGGCAGAGGAGCCGCGGCCGGACCAGGAAAGCAGAGGATCGTCCGGACTGGGGAAGCCGACGGATCGGCGGAAGAGGAGGCCGTCACATCAGCGGAGGCACGTGAGTCTGTGTCCCTGCTGCCTCCGCCAACACAGGCGGGGAAAGTAGCGGGGATTTGAAGGGACACAGGCCGCTGCAGCCACAGTTCTCCTAAATGTACCAGCGGATGTGGACCCCGTTCGTAAGTATGGATTGTCCGTAAGTCGGACGTAACCCGGGGACTGCCTGTATACCAAAAAGAAAAAAAAACCTGTTGTTGTAACTGCTTAAAAAGTTCAGCTTTAATTTTTTAGTGAAGTCCATCTAAATCTGCTAGTCCATCTAACACTACCTTCTTCGATCAAAATGCTGCAAGCACTATTTTGATCGCACCGCACCAGACCGGACTGCAGGCACAATGTGCCTTGCGATCCCGTGTGGTTGATCGCATTGCGGCCGGAGGGCGTGGCTACGGTGCCATTCACTTCAATAGCCCCGCCACGCCCCCTCCAGCCCCACAAAATAGTGAGCCCGCCGCAATGCGTTCCAGCCGGAATCGGGCCGGAACGCACTGCATATGGAGTGAAGTACCCTAAAGGTGCCAAATACACCTTACGATTATGCGATCCAGTGCGTTCTGTCACTGAATGGGGCCGGAACGCACTGGGGCTGGTGTGAACTAGCCCTGAAGCATGTACAGCATCCAGGTGCACTTTTCTTAAGAAGACAACTCATGCCACCCAGTAGATAAAATGTTCTTGCATAACTGAAGTGCACCTTTAAATAATTACCAAGTGTAACATTTTGTCCGTCCAAAGTGACATATAGATACTATGGCTACAACTCAAACTGGATGCATCAATGGCTGATATTACTTTAGAGCTGTGTGTTTTTGTCTATTTCTTGTGCATTGTCCAATGCTTTTAAATTTTGTTAAATAAATGTATATATTTTTATACACTGTGCTTTGAAGTTTATTGGACTTGCCTCTCTGGTGTCAAACAAAAACCCCATTTTTTTCTTTCCTTTTTTTTACGGCTGATATTACAAGCTGAAGCAATATACAAAATGGAGTTTAATAACAAAAGATATTTAAAAAAAACAGCGATTAACCCAGTTATGCATTATGCATATTAAAAATTATGCCATGGGTTTTAAATGCAACTTGTGTGTGGTTACCTGTATGTGTCTGTTTGTTAATTGATTTGTAATCCTGTGTATTGCAGCACTCAGCCTGGGTGGGCCGACACTGCAAGCCAACCAGGCTCTGCTGAAGTGCATGTGTTGGCAGTCAACATGCTGACAGGAAGGCGAGAGCAGAGTAAGCAGCCGAATAGACCATCAGTCTGCTGGTCTATTAGTCAACAAGCTGGAGATGTGAATCTTCAGTGGTAGTTATAGACCTGGATCTGTGTTATGGAAGGGATGGCTGGATCACAACTATGGCTTGCAAGTATAACATATCCTTTGGCAGGTAACACAGTACCCTATGTTGTAAATCATTTTTGATCTTACTTACTTGCCTCAATTCAAGCTTTAAGAGTACTGTAGACAGCTCTAATCTAATTCTTCCTCCTGGCCTGAGTAAAAGATCGTTCTCGATTTTTTTGTCAGACAAGGATCTAAAGGTTATATCACAAACATTAAAGTGGACCTTTACCCCCTTTGACTAAAAATCACATCAGCATACAGCTCTGCATGCTGACATGCAATCATCTTACATTTATTAGCTAAACAAACATTTTTATTTTACTTTAAAACATTTTTTTTTCCTAATTCCTGGTCCTCTTTGGCACAAATGATGTCATCGTGCCCAAGCATTGCATCCTGGGAAGGTTACATCAGCATGCTGGGAAATCTCATATGTTACCTCATGAGACCTCAGGTAAAGGTATTTTCCTCCCCTGAGATGATGTGCATGGTCACATGTCTAGTCACATGTGCCAGAGTTCCAGGAGGTAAAATGAGATCAAGTAACCTGCCCTAATTAAAATGGCCACTGTCAGAAAAATGGGGAAGAAAAGAAAAATAAGCTATGCAAAAAATAAAAAGCTGGCAAATATCTACAAGTATGCGTTTGTAGATTGTCATTACTAAACATTTCTAAAGGTGACTCTGTTGTTATTTTGAAGATATGGTTAAAGTTCCTCTTTAAGATAGAACTGCTGTAGCTTTTGAAAATCTAAATTAATCTTACCTGTGGATATGGGAATCTTCCAAGTGCTAACTAAAAAAAAGAAAGAAACAATGTGTTAAGACAGGAAGTTTAGACAGAAAAAGTTTCTCATAGTTTAAGGGACATTTTGACAAATCATGATAATGTCAAAAGTTGTATACTTTATAGAAAAAAATGACTGTGTATTTACAGCAGCAAAAAATTCAAACAACAGTTTACAAATGTAAATTTAAAAGAAAACTAAAGCTAAAGTCCAACACCGCCAGTTTCCATTTAAGCAAACCCCCTAAGTAAACCACCCCACTATGCAAACCCCTAAAACAAACTCTTAATTTCTACCCTGCTTACACTTTTTTACACAAGTTTTTTTTCTCATTCAACCTCATGGGCTGAAAAAAACACTCAATTTCCCCATCCATGCTGTTTAGGTCCCCTGCTGGGCTAATGTATTCTGATATCCGAATACAGGACCAGTTGCTGCAGCTGATTGACTATAGTCACTGTTCGGCTGAGAGTTTTCAGCCCGGCTCCTTTGACAAAAGTCAATTGACAAATTGACTTTTGGTCAGAGGGGTGCCGGCAGGACCACATACTGCTTGAATTTCAGCTTAGTCAGCAGGACGCGGCCAAAATTCATGTAGGGTATGGCCAGCTTTAGCCCAACTCAAATTGTGTCTGCATGGATCCCTCCGGTGTCTACTGCTCTCCCAGAATAAAAGCAGCATGATAATATCTGCAATTCACAAATACATAGGCTTTCATAATGTGCGAGCATGTGCATTTATTTGCATAACTGGAAAAAGACTATTCGCAAAATGTCTAGTTATATTTGATGCCTATATATAACAAAAAACCTATATGCACATATGTGTAAAGGTGATAGATCCACATTAATTGATATTCTCCCATTTCCGCCAATTTAGCTTCTTCTTAATTAGTAATCTTTGAAGCTGTGAGTGCTGAGGTATCAGAAATGAGACTATGCAGAGAATCTGGTACAACATTCTCCAGACACAGCCTACAGACATCACAGAGTATGAAATGTGCTTTAGATTTAATGAAGCCTTTATGGCCTTCTTAACACTGCCTGTGTGTTACCAAGGGTCAGCCAGCAATCAGCCAGGAGGGGTGGTTTATAACTGGGCAAAGCAAGAGGAGGGAGAAAAGTAATTTGCTTATGAACTGCGCTGAATTTTCTTAATTAACTCTACTGGTTTAAATGCTTGAAGCTGAACAGTCATAGACCTGAATGGTAGATGGTGAGTTCTCAAGAGGTTAGCAGTTAACACTGAAGACAATACAAAGCAGTGTAGAATAGTTATGGAAGCCAGTATACTGTATGTCTAGGAAAGCCAGTGATGTGATATCAGGGAACCTTGCTTTGTGTATAATACAAATGAACAACGTGTTTTTAAGCAAAGCCGAGCCCTTGGGAAGCTAGGGGTTAATCACGACACATGCAGGGCAGGTAACTCAACTGGGCCATTCCCATGAAATTCAAACAGTTCACTGGGTGAGCGATTGCAGGGGGCAGGAGTACAGTAACTGTGAATGAGGGCGAGAGACCAAGTGAAGGAATTACAAATGAATGTAATCTGATGTGTACAAGCTGCAACCGCAGAGAGCGTCTGGGGGTTTAGAACAAAGCATGAAAAGAGAGGGGGCTCGGAAGCTCTATGTTTAATGTATAACACTATTAGCTGGCAGCGAGCAGAGGCTGTGACCCCTGTGGATCGCCACCAGAACCAGACTGATGAAGGAAACACTGCCCTGACCTGTAGCAGGACACAGCCCGCGACAAGTGAAAGAACACAGAATCAGTGCAGGTCAGGATGGGATGTTACAATACTGAGAGGGCATGGTATAGAAAGAGTGCCAAAAAAGGTGGGCGAGCACTGAAACGGTTCAAGAAAAGATGTGGTGAAAACTGCATAGAACAGAAAAGTGCAGTAATTTTGGTCACAGTTGTAAAGATTTCCAGGTAATAAAGAAACAATTCACACATTTAAAATCTTTAAGAAATCTAATATGCCCCCCTGGTATCTAAATTTTAGAAAGCTTACAACCATCATGTGTGCAGGACAAAACAAAAGGTTTCTTTTAGCCATCCATCTGCCTTTTTTAAACTCTGTTTATTGCTCTTGAAACAGTTGTACAAAACTCACAAAAGTATACATATCTAGTGCGTACTGTATATGTACAATAGACAAATAATATAGTGAATGATAATAGAAAATGAAATAACTGATCACAATGACAGTCTCGAAAAAGTCAATAAGACATGACCAACAATTGGTCAGATACATCCTTCAAGGTAAACTTACAGTAGATTTCCAAGATTACATTAAGAGGTCCAGAGTGGTTTCATCCCGAAGTCAAAATAAGTGCAGATCACACCATAGGTCTCAAACTTTATGAAAATAAAGAGGACAATGTCTCCTTCCATACATAACCCTCTGATAAGTGATAATCTAATTTATTAACCACTTCCACTGGGATACGCTGGGGGAGATGGGTCCCTCCATCAAATAACAATGGGCTTGGTAGCCATGAACATAGTTTACCTTAAGAATATTCTGGTGTAGTGTGGCCAGTGTTCTTCAGCCAATAAACCAAATTTCAGGAGTGCACGAAACTGGGAGACTTAGTAGGGTAGAATGGAAGTAGTCACTTGTTTCCGAAAATCAGATATGACTAAGCAACTGCAGATGAGGTGCATAAAATCAGGGTACAGCATATACAGTTATGGTTGGTTATACGTCCAATTTTATGTAAACGGATCGGGGATAGATAGGTGTGGTGGATAATATACAGTAGGATTAACTAGTTATTGATCCCTGGGGACACATACATATGAGAGGAGGACATATTCCAGTCTTCGTCCAACATTATGGTCATAAAAAGTTGTCATAAGAAACTGCAAAGGAAGACTTGCCCAGTTTGGTATTAGTAAATGGGAGTAGCGAGTAGAAACCAACCCTCTAGGGCCCTGTGATCTCAAAATGCCTAATAGGGGGTAGATATAGGCATATTCTGAGTTCTAAATTCTGCCTCTGAGCAATGACGACGTTTTCAAAATCTGTAAAAGAAAGAACTTAATACTTTTCTTAGAGTTGTGCAAAGGAATGCAGAACACCTTCTTGGTACACATGTGATAAGGTGGCAATTCCATGAGATTTCCACCTTGTACATATTTTTTAATTACTGACTCTGTGTGTAGACATTCCTCCTACTTAGCCAATAACAGTTAAGGTGTCATTGCTGCTGACTTATCTTACTAAAAAAGAAGCTGGTTATTTGGCTGTCATGATGACAAACTCTTGTTTCAATAATTGTCCCAGGAGAAGTAAACAGATAGGGCTTCTGACTTTCCTGAAAAATGTATTGATTTGAATACTTGCTCCAGCTTAGTGACTCAAAGTATGAAACTTTGTGGGTTAATATAACAGCCAGGTGACAAGACATTTTAGATGGCAGCAATGACGGCTTCTACAATACTTTAGTGGTGGGCTTGCTCTGCGGTCTGTCAACAGCCTCACATACAAAAGCAGGGGACTTCAAACTTGGCCTTTAACAGACAATGCTTCTGGAGCCTTAAACAAGAAATTGAAGTGTCTTACGATAATTCATGAAAACACCACTACAAAGCTCTTATACAACAGTCCTTGGTAGCCATTGTGGGACAGATTACCCAGGACATATAAAATGTAACCTTAGTACAGCCAATCAGCACAAAACACTTAAACTGTTTCAACCTGTAAAGAAGGGGCTACCTCAGCTTAGATAGCTCTCAGTTTAATTTTTTTTATATATATCCCAAGGTTGGGAGTGTGACTTTACATGGATTTGCAAATGCATGCAATAAAAGCCTCTCGTGGCCTGTTGGGATCCCTGCTTTCGTCAACATTTGATTTATTTAGTGGACTTTTGTCGATGAAGCTGGTCGGAAAATTCTCAGCCTTAAAGTGACTTCAGCCAATCAGCTGCAGTCAATGCCTGGGCATCCTGACAGTGGCACATCTGCAGCTTTCAGAATACAATAGCCCAACAGGGAGGATTCCCCATCAACACTTTTAGCACTTAGCATCTATGGGGGGAGTAGAGTGTTTTTTCTGGTTCAGAGTGAGAACGACAAAAAATGATGACTGTATGGCCAGAGGATCAGGAGGAATTTGTTTTTCCAATTGGAGCAAATAGGACCAAGCATTAACCTCTTGCCGTCCGCCCGTAGTAAAAAAACGGACGGACGGCACTATTACATCTGCGGGTTGCCGTCTCCAGACGGCAATTTTTTTCTGCTCGTGCGCGCCCCCTAGCGGGCACGCACGGGCAGAAAAGACCCGACCGTTGCACACACCCGTTGCTGATCTCCGTCCGGGCTGTGAATGCAGAAGTGATGTGTATTACATCACTACCGCATTCACCTGTCAGTCATCTGGCTGCTATTGCCAGAGAGAAGAAGCTGATAAAGCAGATCTCTGCTTCATCAGCTTCTTTTGGGGTCCACAGGTGATATTAGGGGTCCTAGAGACCCCTAATATCTCCATAAAGAGGACCTGTCAGTGTGCCTTTGCTATTATATAGGGGGTTGTTATCCCCCTATATAATAGCAATAACAATAAGTGCAAAAAAAAAAATATAAATAAAAAAAAAGAAAAGTAACACATAAAAAAATAAAATAAAATAAAAGCCACATATAAAAAAAGGGGAAAAAACCCCCCCAAAATGTTTAACTCCCCCACCCCCACGTTTACGCGCCTATAAACGTAAATACGCGTCCGGTGCCCCAGCGCGCAAAAATTACAATTGCGCCACACGTTACATATCGCCGCGAACGTCGCAGTGAGAGCAATCATTTTAGGGCCATCAATCACTGATAACACTAAACTGATGAGCGGTAACAGCTTTTAAAGCGTCGCCTATGGCCAATTTTGGGTATTATCGTTTTTTGAGGTTTCGCGCGCGCACGCAATTTTAAGGCTTGACATGTTTAGTGTCTTTTTACCCGACGTGACCCCATCTTTTATATTTTACCAAAAAATTGGGTAATA